GCCATCTTGGATGAGCTTTCGGTTCTCTCTGAGCTTCGGTTTCTCCCAGTGTAAGACTAGCAAGCCCTTCCCTGCTGTGAGGAGCGAATGCTTGTATAGTACCTAATTCTTATACAGTGCTTGCATGGGGATGCAGCACTCAGTCAGGGCCTGATTGGCTGTCGGTAAAATGAAGTAACACAAAAAGAAGTGTTTGGGCGTCTTCATCCCCCATTGCAGGGAGCCCTTCGGGGAGAATTCTGGGCGTGTGCCCCTCTGTTCCTGAGGCTCATCTCTCAGAGTGCTGACTGGCCCAGCCCATTTTCTCCTCCACATGCCCAGTGGACAGCAGGAATTGGGCCTGGTTCCTCTGGGTCTCCCAGGGTCTGCCCATGGAGTGTGGTGGGAAGACTGGACCACAGGACAACAGGCTGGGCTCCGAGGGGTGGGATGGAGTGGGGAAGGTGGGGCAGGTGGGGGAATCAGTAGGACTGTCAATCATGACTCACATTCATGGCATTCAGTGAAGCCTGAGGGAAAACCAAGGTGGGTCCTAAATGACATTTTCAGAAATAACCTGTTGACGAACTTACCAAAGCCCCAATAATGTGGAAAATGGGGGACAGGGCCCTCAGGAGAAGAGGCAGGACAGCTCACTTTAATAACAATAGCATCGACAATCACAATTCCATCAAAAGCAACAAATTATTGAGCACTTACTATATGCCAGCAGCACAGATAACACTTTATGTGCATGATGTCATTTACTCCTTTAGACAAGTGTGTGGAGTGATTGTTGTTATTCAGTTTCACTAATGAGGAAACAGCCTCAGAGACCTTAACTCTGTTGCCCAAGGCAACTCAGAGGTAGAGCTGGAACTCAAGCTCCTGCTTTCAAAGACCACAGCAAAAGTTCCCAGGGATGCCAGAGCCAAGTAAGCACCCCAGGAGAAGGGGGGGTCCCTGGGCAGAGAACCACCCTCATTCTCATTTCCCAGACTCACCCTCTTGGTGACTGAGGTCCTGTTACTACCTTACCAGGGAGCGGCAGCAGGCTGAGGCATGTGGAGCGAAGGGCCACCTAGAGCCACCTCCAGGACTTGGACTCCTCAGGCAGTGCCCCCTGCAAGGCAGCCTTTCCAGCTGTGATCCCCCTCCCCCTCCAGATGACTCAGGTGGCCCAGATGGAGGCCTGCAGTCTGACTGTGGCCATAAAGCTAGGGAGGGTGACTCAGTTCCTTTCCCTCAGTGACCAGGCACTATGGGGGTTACACACAGTGGCTCACCCCACTCTCCTTTGGTGCCCATTGTGCCTTCAAGTCAGTGCTGGGCACCAGCCTCTTGTCCCCCAATCCCTAATTTATGGCCTAAGCCTGTAGCAGCCCTTTAGGGTTCACTTTGTTAGGGTCAGGTAAGAACAAGTCTGCCTTGTGTTTTCTGAGGGCCAGTCCTATGTCACTCTGGCCACCTGATGCGAGAAGCTGACTCATTGGAAAAGATCCTGATGCTGGGAAAGATTGGAGGCAAAAGGAGAAGGGGGTGGCAAACGATGAGATGGTTAGATATGGCATCATCGACTCAGTGGACATTAATTGGAACAAATTCTGGGAGACAGTGAAGGATAGGGGAGCCTGGCATGCTGCAATCCATGGGGTCACAAAGAGCTGGACACTTAACGACTGAATAAGTCCTATGTTGCCAGCAGAAATTATGATCTCTTTAAGATCAGACAGCACCCCCTGCCCCTGAAGTTGTCCATGGTAAAGGGCATGTGGTAGCCTTGTGCAGAGTGGGGAGTGACAGGGTTTGAATCCACTCCATCACTCCTACTGTATGAGCTCTTTAAGCCTCTGGGGCCTCATCGGGGAGAGGGGACAAAGGACCCTTCTTGCAGGGCTGCTCTGCAGGTAAGGGTGCTCATCTATGAGAAGTGCAGGGGGCTCTAGACCCTGAAGGGCCCAGTAAATGATAACACTTGCCACTAAAGACAGAGATGGGGTCACCTCCACTGAAAAGCCTTGCCTGGCTATCCTGTTTGAGGCAGGACTTTCTTTTTTTTTTTTTTTTCTTCTTCTTACTCACAACACCCTGTTCTTTTTCTTCAAAAGCACTCAGCCCAGTTTGTAATTATACATGTTTGTTTACTTGTCCATGAGAGCAGGGACTGTGTCTGTTTCCTAGTTCTCCATCCCCAGCACCAGGGGCAAGAGTGCAGTAAGTGTTGAATGAACCTCCCCAGTCCTCTTCAGACAGAGCAAGACTAGCACTTTCTGCCATTTCTCAGAGGACTTGGCTCTCAGAACCCTGCATATTCCTCAGCAGTCCCTCCAGAGATGACCCTGCAGCTGATGTAGCTGGGGAGAGCTGGCTACTCCCCGCAGCCAGAGTTCCCTAGGTCAGAATAGCTGGGTGGGGCCCAAGGCTGGGTCCTGTGCTCACCTCTGCCATGGTCCCTGATAGGACAGTGGGAGGTCGTTCGGCTTTTGCCTCTCCTCTCAGCTGAAGGCTCTTTGGCCTGTGGCCCTACAGCCACATTAAGTCTCCACCAGAGCCCCTCTTCGGCCCTCCTCTCACCTGAGGCTGAGCCTGACGTTCAGAGGGGCCTCTCTGCCTCCCACTTCCCTCTAGTCCCACCTCCTTCTAGGTCTCCCCTGCCTCCTGCCCTCAGCTGAGACCAGGGCCCCCTGGCCTTGGCAGATGTGTGAGGCGGGGAGGCACTCTGAGTCCAGATGTGATTGTGTTTATGTTTCCAGAGAGTGAGGGGTCGGAGCTCTGGACTGGAGCCGTTGGGGGAGGGGTGGTCTGGCTCCAGCCCCCCCGCCCCAACCTTCCCTTCCCCCACCCCCCTCCCCCAGCCTGTGTATCTGGCCCTGGCCTTCTCAGAACCCAGCACTCCAGGTCCTACAGCATCAGGCTGAGCCATCTCGCAGGAAGGACCCTCCTTACTCCTCCTCTGAAGGTGAGAAGACCATGGAAAGATGCTTGACTTTGGAATCCGTGTGACCTTGGCCCACTGCATAGTGTGATGGAGCCCTAGTTCCATCATCTGTATAGTAGGGCCAACACTCCTGACCTCAGAGTCAGTACTGACCCGGTCTGGGAATGTGTGCACAGGGCCCTCCAGCTATTAACCCGTGACAAAGCCCATGGCCATACCCCATCCCCAGCTAGGGCTTGCCTGGGCCCGGCCCCAGGGCATTGCCCATCACAAGGTGACTCTAAAGCAGAATACCAACCCCTCCTTCCTCACCCGCTGCAGCTGCAAACATTTTGTTTTGCCATTAGAAATGACTTACTTAAGGGAAGCAGAATTTTATAGGCAGTTTACAGGCTGGTCTTGTTCAGTAGTTTCCAAAAGTGGGGGAGGGTGGCGGCGCTGGGAGCCACAGATACGTTGGGATGGAAGGGAAGTGAGAAATGGGTTGTGCGTGGTGGACACTTTCACCGGAACAGCCATATACCCCTGGGTGGGATTTCGATGTGGAAAGGCAGAGGGAGGCCCTGCCTAGACTGGCGGATCCAGCACCCTCGGTCCTCCCGAACAGCGAGAGCAGAGCTCACAGTGCGGGCACCGGGCCTATGAGAGAAAAGACAACCCCAGGCCTAAAGAAACTCTTAGCGGCTCCCACCCCAAGGTTCCCGGCAGACAACGTCTGCAAACCACCCTAAGAGGCTGAAAGGTCATTCAGACCCAGCCTGAGAAGAACCTGCAGAATCTGGCGGTCGGGCCAGGCTGGGACAGCCCGCGCAGCGCGGGAGGCAGAGCGGTTCAGTCGATTGCTTCTGGGGCGCGCGCGCGCTCGGAGACGGAGTTGGTAGCGCCCAACCGCGTCCTCAAGGGAGCCGGGCTGAACAGGCCGTGAATGGTGGTGGGCAAGTGGGGGTAGGGTCCTCTGGCGGGGTCGGCCTCGGCTCTTCCCTCCTACCAGCAGAGCCCACGGGGGCCCATTTCCCTTTCTACCCGCCTCCCTTCTCGGCCGAATGAAGCAGTCAGTGCTCGGCAGTGGTTAGCACGCTCGTACTATGGTTTTTAATAGACGTACATGGACAAGTCGATATAGACAGATTTATAATTCTATACAGTCAGTCCGACATACACAGGGACGCTGTAAACAGGGGCGCGGGCCGGAGAGCGGGTGTGCAAAGTGGGCGCGGCTGGGGCCCTGGCCGCGCCCCGAGCTCTCCCGGCTCGACTCTTGCACGGCGGGCGGTGAGGAGGGGGCTCTTCGCCGGGAAAGGGGGGCCCTCTCCTAGCCCCGGGGGGAGCCGAGCGGAGGGCCTGGGTCTGCGGCGAAGCTTGGGGGCTGGGATGCTCGGAGACAAGCACTCAGCACGCTCCCGCCTCGACCGCACCGCCAGCTGCCGCTCCTTGGCCTTAAAATAGGACTCCGGGGCACGGGGCAGGCGAGGGCTCCTCGAGGCGCGCTGGGGCCATTAGTACGGCTCCGTGGCGAGTTCCCGACCCTGGGCTGGGTACCATCATCCCCGGCTCAACGCCCGCTCCAACTTGGATCCGGATCGAGCTATAAGGTATGCTCAGCCGGGCCCAGCTCGGAGGGGGCGTCTTGGTTCCCACCTGGCCGGGGCCCAGGCTTGCCTGGGCTCCGCGCCCCAGTTCACAGGCGCGGCCGCTCAGTCTGGGTCCAGCGCGGCGGGAACGCGGGCTACGGGGGCGTCTCCTCCGGGCCGCGGGCCTGGGCGCTCGCCTCCCGCGCCGCGTCCCCTCCGCGGAGTGGCCCACCTGGGCCCCAAGCGAGCGAACGTGCACCACCCGCGCCATCCCGAGGGAAATTGCAACTCATCCGTTTTTTTTCGCGGCACTTTTCTCCGACGTCTTTTTTTGTTTTGTCTCGTTTTGGAGGGCAGAGTGAGGTCCAGGAAAGCAAACACAAAACCAAGCCGGAGGTGGGGAGGTGGGGAGCAGAGGGTGGCTCAGGAGCCAGGTCCTCCGCGCCCGTCCGGGTCCCGGCCCCGACCCCAGCGCCGTTCCGGCCGCCGGCCCGCGTGGCTCGGCTGGGCGGTCAGCTGTTGTACTGGCACGCATTGAGGCCCGAGGCCGGGCCCTGCAGGCCGCCGTAGCCGAAAGACGAGTGCTGCTTAGACTTGAGCCGCAGGCTGGCCAGGCTCGAGTTGCACGTGTCCCGGTAGACGCTGTAGGGCGAGGCGGGTGTGCCATACGGGCAGGCGCCCGGCGACATGGCCGAGTTAAGCGAGGAGCCGGTGAGGTTGTTGATGTTGTTGAGGCCCGAGTTGGGCATGCCGGGCACGGCGCCCGGGCCCATGCTCGAAGGCATGGTCATGGAGGAGATGGAGCTGGGGGCCGAGAACATGGACTGCGACGACAGCGGGCTCATGGAGTTGAAGAAGGTGAAGCTCTTGGTGGAGAGAGGCGCTGGCGCCAGGCTCTTGGCGGCCCAGTTGTTGTAGGAGTACCCCGCGGCGTACACGTCGTCGTAGGGCTGCACCAAGCCGCTGAACTGCGGCACGTAGCCGCCCTTGCACAGGTCCAGCTGCTGGTTACGCTCGCGTTTCCGCCACTTGGCTCGCCGGTTCTTGAACCAGACCTAGGCGAGGGGGACCGAAGAAGGGTCAGGGCTGCCGGGCGGGGAAGGCGCCCCCACCGCCCCCGCACCACCCCGAGGCTCCAGCCCGCTTCCTTCTCCCCAATACCGTTTCTTTTCTTCAATATTTCCGCCCCTGCCTTCTCCCCATAATGGTTCCTTTCCTGTCCCCAGAAAATATTACTAGTCTTTTCTTTTTTCTGATCTTTATCCTCTTCCCCTAGTTAAATCCGGTTTCTTCTCCTAAGGGGGATCCTCTTGTTTCGTTTGTTTGTTTGTTTGTTTTAATAACAAATATTTGTTTTCTTTCCTCCTCTTCTCAACCAGGTCATCTTGTGCCTTCTCCCGTAAACGGTTCCCCATCTATCTCCTAAATACCCCGTCCATTTTCTTCTCCAACAACAAAGGTAGTTTTCTTCCCTGCAACATAGGACCTTGCGACTCCTCGGTCTATTTTTCATTCCTCAGATAGTCTGTTTCCATCTTTATTGGTAATATTTGATATTCTAATTTCTGTCCCAAATGTTTATTTTCATTTGGTCCACCCCGCTATCTGAACCACTTTTTTCTCCCTCAGACAGTCCATTTTTCTGTGTTATCCCCCATTTTTGATCCTTTTGATTCTTCTCCAAATATTTATTTTTTCCTTCTTTCCAAATATCTGACCCTCACTGTTTTCTCTTAAATAGTCGATTCTTTATTTTTCTCAAATACTTGATCCTTTTGCTTCTCCCTTAAATATTTAATTTCTTTCCTGCCACCTAAATATATGCCAAATATGTTTTTCTGCAAATATTTAATTTCCTTTCACTTCTTACTAGTTTTTCTCTGCTCTCCCCCTCTACTTTCCCCCACAAAATTCAGTTAAGAACCTCTTTTCTTCCCAAATCCCAGTCCTTGCCCTGGGCTGTTCCCCCGATCTTTCTTGCCGGATCCCTGCGTGTCAGCCTTCTCCATCCCAAGCACTAACATTGCCTGATTCCTTCCCCCACCCCACCCCTACCACCATAAACCGGGGGGCAGGATTAGTGAGTTCTGGATTACTGAGCGCTGTCTTCACTCCCTATCCAACTGGGCTGGCCAGCCTGACTGAGGTGGGGTGAGAGCTGAGGTTATAGCAGGGAGTCTGTGGCCCCGGTGGGACTTTGGTTTAGTTTGGGATATGCTCCCAACATCTGATTAAATGTTTGCAGTACCCAGAGAAGAAATTACTCTCTTGCTGCTCTGGCAGAAAAGCCATGTATTCACTGGGAACCGAGGGGTGAGAAGAGCGAGTGTGCAGTCTAGTCTTGGGCTGAAGACCTTAGATCTCCAAAGGGATTCCTCCTGAAGCTCACTCATCCACCAGATTTGTTGCCCACCTCCCACCTGACCCCAGCCCTCCAGGAAAGGGCATTAGGGAAAGGGTTCAGCTACAGGTTGGCTGATGACTGAGAAAGAGTCAGGTGGAGAATATCCTGAGATCGTGAATTAGCCAACTGCGGATGGGACCACTGCCCCAGGAAGTTTTGAGGCCCCCAAGCCTGGGCTCTACTCAGGCCTCTCTCAGACTGCCAGACAGGTTCTGCCTTTCCCTTTCGTTTTTTGCGAGAAGGCACTAGCGGCTCCGAGGTCCCCAGCGGCGGGGAATCCTCTGCACAGTCTAGGGTGGTAACGTCTGGGCGGGCGGGCTCTGGGCTCTACTGGGCAGGGGAACTTCCCTTGGGGCCACACGCCTTTGGATGGGGGCTGCGGTGGAACCAGAGGGTCAGGTAGGATGTGGGTCAGAAAGATCCGAGGCAGCAGCAGCCGTTGGGCGCTAGCACCAAACGGCTCAGCAGCAGCTGGGTAGACGGGGCCTAAGGTGGAATCTCCTCCAGTGGAGGGAGGGAGAAGGTCTGACTGTTGGAAAGAGTGTTAGTCTGGGCGCGGGTCTAAACTTTCAAGGTCTGCGCTGGGCCGGCGGGCAGCCTTCTGCGCGGGTCCCCTTAAGCGCACACCCCGCGCTCACCCTCACGCGTGGCTCGGTGAGGTTGGTCCACACGGCGATCTCCTCCCGCATGCTCATGTCCGGGTAGCGGTTCCTCTGGAACGTGGCCTCCAGCTCTTGCAGTTGCTGACTTGTGAAGTGCGTGCGTTGCCGCCGCTGCTTCTTCTTCTTGGCCGGGTCCTCGGCGCCGCCGCAGCCCGCGCCGCCGGCACCGCTGTCCTCGGGCCCCTTGGGTTCCCCGCCGCGCTCCTTTTCTGAAGCAGGCAGGATGGGGCGCCGGTCACCTCGGGCTTTTGCCCTGTTGCACCCCGTCCCGGCTCCACCGAAGCGCCCTCGGTCAGCGCTGGCGGCCCGCCCTCCCACCAGGGGCCCTGGAATTGTCCCCGCTGTTAAGAGCCCGCCTGTGCCTGGTCGGTCAGTAGTCACCTTCTGGTCAGGCTCGTCTGGGAGCAGAGCCCAGGAGTTGGAGCCGCGGACCAAGGTTCCCAGCTGGGCAGGGCCTGCTCTCACCGCTCGGCACACGCTGGAGCCCTACTGTTGATGCCACCGGAAAATGCACAGTTTTTAGGGCTCTTGGGGGTTCTAAATCGGAGGAGATCTCTGCTTTTCTGAACTAGGAGCAGACTTTTCTAGCTTGAAGCTAGGGGATCCCTGGAGTCAGAGCCAGGCGGTGGCCTGCACGTTCTTCTCCCCGGCCCGAGCCGGAGCCCCACTGAACCGGGCAGGCACAGCACAGCCGGTTTCTCGGCCTTAGCTCCAGGCCTCAAGTCCCAAGGCCCAGAAAATCCCGCTGGCGGCTGCCGGGCAGCCCAGACCCACAGATTCTGTCTAGGTGACCTGGGAGCTCTAGTCTTGCTCTCTCTCTCAAGCTACACAAAACACAGTCATAGAAACATTGAAACATAAAGAAAAAGGATTTAAAACCAAAACACTGAATCCCAGAAAAGCTAACAGCTCTATGGGTAAAAACACAGAAAGGGTCAGAAACTCTTAAAAATAGGCAGACAGAAACACAGCGAACGCAAATTAAGAAGCCAGAAACCTCCATGCAAACACACTCCTAACTAAATACAGTGCTGTACGTTTATAAGCTCCAGGCAGGCACAGGCATTTATTTATCTGGGATTTTTAAAAAATCAACGTAGTGTTGTAGATAGATTTTTTTAACCCCTTCTGGATAATGTCCTTCCCCAGGTAATTTTTAAATCCCAGGGAAATACAACACTATTGTTAGGTAACTTAAATTCCGCAAGTAACACCACTGTAAGTGGATTTTGAGAAAATCCCGGAGAAACGCGCCATTTTGGATTGACTTTTTAAAATCTCTTGAATAATGTAGAAATTTTAATTTGAAAATGTACCTAGAATAGCAGTTCTTTCTACATCGAAATATACAGTTAAAAATTTAAATCTATTCTCATAGACCTTTTTTAAAAAAGAGAGCAATCTGTAATTATATATTTCTCCGGGCTTTTAAAACTAAAAACCAACCAGAGGCCACGGTTAAAACTTTTGAAAACAAAAGTACCGTCCAGCGTTGATTGTTTTTTAACCAACCAAACAGAACCTCTCAGATTAAGTCACTTAGGGATCCAAAACAGAAACAAATAGAGATTACAAACGCGTAGAGAAACACTCAGCGGTGGATTAAGAAATGAACGCAGAAGAGGCGCTCAAGGCCCGGGGAGTGGGGAGCTCAGCGGCGGCGCCGAACGAGGACCGAGAGCCCCGGAGCCGTGCGGAGACCCGGGAGTCCGGGTAAGGCGAGGGACTAGCCTCGGTGCTGCCCGCGCCGCCCACCCGCCGGCCCAGCAGTTGCTGGGGGGGAAAAATAGCTTGAGCTCCGACAAAAACGCAGCGCGGAAGGAGACGTGCCTGAGCCGAGTCGGAGCCCTGCAGGGGAGGCCTGGCGGCTCCCGGCTCCCGCGGCGCACGTGCGGCGGGGAGCCTTCTTCTGAGGGGGTCCTATGTCCGAGCCGGGCGGCGCCTCTTGGCCCGCTTGCCCTCGCTGTCCTCTCTTCTCCTTTTCCTTAAGGCTGTTTTTCTTGCCCCCAGTTTGCTTTTCTGACTTTGCCCGCCATACCTTCTCTGGTTTGCCCCTTTCCAGTCAGTCGCCCGGTCTGTCGGGGTGTCTGGACTGTTTCTCTGGGCACTTTCTCTCGCCCACCCGCCCATTCCTCTTTGATATGCTCCTCTCCTTCGGTTCCAGCGCCCCCCTGGACAACCAGTTGCGCAAACCTAACTTTTCTCCCCGCTCTGTTTGCTCCTGATCGAGAGAGGCTGTCATTCCGACCTTCCGGTTGTCGGTTCGTGCATCGGCCGGTCACTTGGCGCGACGGGACCGCGTGGAAGTGCCTTGGGAAAGCACTAAAATTTCCGTTTCATAAAGCGCGTCCATGTCCACGTTCATCGTCAGATGGAGAACGGGAAAAGGCAAGGTCCCGACGCTCCTGGGGCGTACAGCGAGCCCGGCTGCGGGGCGCGGCCCTGCTCCCGGCTCCCCGCGCCAGGGTGGTTCCGCGCGCGTCTCGCGGGGAGCCGCTCTTACCTGGTAGCTCCGTGTCGGACGACTCGCTGGCGGAGTTTTCGAGAGGCTCGCGGGGGTCGGCCGTGCGGGCTAGGTGGAAGGCGGGCCCCATTTCGTGCGGCGGCGGCGGTGGCGGCCGGAGTCCCTCTGGCAGCCGCTCCAGGCTCATGCCCCCCTTGAAGGCGTCCATGGAAGCGGGGACCGAGGCGGGCGCTCCGGGGGCCGGGGCTGGGCGCGCCCGGCCGCCCCGGCAGCGACCTGCGAGGACAAGAGCGCAGCCCCTAAGCGGCTGCCCCCCAGGGCTGCCCGCGCCCGCAACGACGCCGCGCTCGCCCCATGGGGCGCCCGGGGCTGCGGGGCCAGGCGGGCGGCAGCGGCAGCGGTTTCTCGCGACCCGGGGTCCCGGCTTCGCGCTCCGCGCTGCGCTCCCGCCGCTCGGGCCTCAGCCGCCCGCCCGGCCCCGGCTCCGGCTCCCGATCCGGGGCCGGTTTCTAAGGCTCCGGACGGCGCCGGCAGAGTCTGTCTTAAAGCGACAGCGCGCACCGCCAGGTTCCAGCAGTCCCTGCGCCAGGGGTGGTGGGTGGGGTGGGCCTGGGTGGGAGGGGGCTGGGAGGGAGGGAGCCAGCGAGCAGGCGAGGGAGCGCGGGCGGAATCCAGCCCCGAGCCGCCCGCGCCGCCGCGCCCTCTCTGCCGCCCTCCCTCCCTCTCTGCCCGCCTCGCCCGCGCCCTCCCCCTCCGCAGCCACCTTCCCGCCGCCTCCCCCCTCCCGCGGCCTCGCCGCGCCTCACCCTCCTTCCCCGGTGGCACGCCGAGTTCTCCCTCGGCCGCACAAAAGAAACGCATCTGGCTTGCAAGTCCCGCGCGGCTCGTGCCCACCTCAAGCCCCAAATGACTTGTTTCGCTCAGAAATCAACTCCTGTCTGGGCCGCCTCGAAGTTCCGAGCCCCCGGCGAGAACAGCCCGCGATGAGTGAACGTTCACCGAGCAGGATCCAACCGACCGGGCGCCTGCGAGTCAGCGCCAGGGCGGGGGCAGAGCCCAGGGCTCGTTCCGGCAGCTCCCAGCGGCGTCCTCATCGAGGGGCCGCGGCCCCTCCTTCCCCGGCCTCTTCTCCCGGGACCCGAGCCAGGCTGAGTGACAGCAGCCTGAGCTCTAATGGGCCCCCGGATGCTGCCTCCTAATTAGCTTGGACCCTCTCCCCCAAGGCTGCTTCTCAGGCCTACCCCCTCTGCACCGCAGTCAATTTTCCGGGATTGGGATAGAACTGATGGCTTCTAATCAGACGAAACGTTTCTGTTGGCTCCAGGCCGCTGTCGAGTGCAGCAGGAGACCCCAAGAGCCCTGCCAGGCCCGCACAGCCTCTTCTCTCCCCTTGTTTTGCACCTTCAAGGGTCTGGCCAAACCCGCCAGGTCCCGGCCTTGGCTACCACAGGGTGGGCCCCTCTCTGCCCCCTTCCCGGCAGGCTTGCAGGGCCTGGCGCCTCACTTTGGCTTCTCAGGGGTGGCAGGCACAGGCCCGGCAGGCCAGGTGACCGCAGTTTCCAAACCTAGGCCAGCAGGCCAGGAAGCCTAGGACAGTCTTGGAGCTTCTCTTAGCTACAACGGTAGCTAAGCTGCAGCACCAGTGGGCCCTCCATGAGCACACACACACTCCCCTTCCCATCCCCTGGAATGAGTCCCTCCTGGAATCCTCCTACTTCACTGAAGTTTGTTGAAGGATTTTGCTTAACAATTGTTAACTGGTCCTGAGATGTCAGAGTCTTGAGCAAATAGGGGACAGCTGGGATGGTAGGGTGCAGCCCTGACCTGTTCCTCTAGCCACAGGTGGACCCCAGGGTGCCCTTTGCCCCCGGTCTGTGTGCCCCATCAGACAGAAGCAGCACTGAGCAGGACAGTGGTGGGGGCTGTGTGTGAGGCCTGGAGAAGCGCTGTGGTCATCTCCAGGCCCAGTGCCTCACGCTAGGGCCCAGGGCATCTTAATGTTCTCCTGGGATCTCTGCCTGGGGCTGACTGTGCCAGCTGTCAGGGTCTGGGACCCTCAGCAGTCCCTGCCCTCACCCGGCTCCTTATCACCCTGGCAGTCACCTGCTTCCACTTCAGGCTGAGATCTCTGGTGTGGATTGTGGGGGCAGGGGCGTGGGCAGGGTAGAACCAGGCCTGCCTCTCACTCCCTTGGCCCCAGCCCAAGGCCCCCAGCTCTGGGTCCTGGGGAGTAAGCAGTTTGTTAGGGGCCGGCCCACTCTCCCTGGGTGCCTGTGACCACAGCGGGGCAAGCTCTGAGGCTTGGGCCAGAGGAGAATGCATCCAGGAGTTTGGGTTGGGGGAGTGGCTCCAACTTCTCCAAAGGTAATTTTCTGTAGGTTGAGACCCCCAGGGTGAAAGTAGACTTGGTGTGTAGGGGAATGGGGAGGGGTCCATGGACACTGGGAACAGTGGTGGCTGAGCATTTGGCCCCAGCCCCATCTTTGACCACAGTTTCCAGTTGAATCTCCTGCAGGAGCAATACCTCCTTTCAAGGATGTATTTAGGTGTTATGCCATGCCAGTGAGTGCCCCTCTGCAAGCCACCATCCTGGCAGCTGCCTTACTTCGACGGGACAGTGAGCCACCCAGCCTGCCAGAGTCACAGAAGCATGCACATACTTAGATGTACTGCATACCTGTACAGGTGTGCTGTACACACACACACACACACACACACACACTCACTGCTCCCACACAGGGGAGTGCTGAATACAGTCACATATGTGTACACACAACCAGGCCTCTGAGCTACAGAACACTGATGCTATCTGGCACGAAATCTGGCTGAGAGGGGTGTGATCTAAGCCCACCAAGTGTCAGGCCAAGGTGGGAAGCACAGCGCTCCTCTGGGAGGGGTCGTGAAATGAATGGTCTGCCTTTGGGCATCCGGAGGCTGGCCATCACAGCCCCACACTCCCCAGAGGGTCTAAAGAGTCAGGCCTTCCATGGATGGGGACTGTTTTGTGACTCTGCAGTGCTAGCTACTCAGTCTGAGGGACTTGTACCCCTCACTGTTGATGCATTTAATGCAGTTATTGAGCACCTGCTGTGTGCCCCTCCAGATCCAAGCCTCTGGCAGGGCTCCAAGCAGTCACAATAATCCCTATATTTGGAAATCTTGATGCCTGCTGTGTGGACAGAAGAGTCCTCAGACTATTGCGGGTGAAGCTCCATATCCTGGGGCCCTGAGCCCTAGAGAGGAGCTGAGACTAGTGGGGGCTGCCCCGGTGTGTCCTCTCCACTAGACCCGGTCAGCGCTGAAGGAGTAGGGGTGAGGAACTGACTGATCCAGAGGAGGCCCTGGCCTGATCTTGGGTGCTGGCTGGAGAAGGGACCTGGGGTGCTCTGTCTTCTTCCTCAGCCGCTCTCTCCCCTGGCTGCTATCCCAGGCAGAATAGGGGCTTCTTGCACACACTCACAGATGCAACACACACATATGAGACAGGAGGCAGCTCTCTTTCAGGAGTCAGAGCAGGGACTCAATGTTCCCCTGGCTTTTGCTGTGTGACCTTGGGCAAGGCGTGACCTGCACTGTGCTACAGCTCCCAAGTCTGACATGGGACATGCTGCTTCAGCCTCCACCTCACCAGATGATGGGACATGAGGAAAGAAGGGAAGCGGGCTTACTCGGGTTGGAACCAACCCTTCAGGCCACACAGAGCTAGCAATGATTCTGTGACTTTCAGGAAATTTGGGGCTTACAGTCCTGGCTGGGTTCAGCAGAGAAGCCTGGGCTCTTGTCGGGTTGAAATAATCACCACAGGGACCCTTCCTGAGGCTGGGCTTACAGAAAACAGACTCTGCCCAAGAATGGCTTAGTCATTTTCTTTGGGAAGGGTGATTGGAGGGTCCTCTTAGAGGGCATCCTTCCACCCACTCACAGGGGTACCTTGTCCTAATCTTTGCACCAGAATCAAGGGATTTTAGGAAAAGGAAAGGAATGTGCCATGGCTTGCCTCCGGGGCCATCCGTGACTCTCTGGGACATTCCAGCCCTAAGCCTTTTAGGCCGTGGAGAAGTTCAAACTAGAAAACCCAGTTTTGGGAGTGCAGCCGGGACCACCTACCTCCTTCTGCCAGATCTAACATCCCCTCCCCAATAAAAATCATTGTTTCTTTGACTGAAAGCAGTTTCTGGGTGATGGGAAAGGGGCTCTCAGGTAGGTGGCTGGGAATGGATCCTTTCAGCTTTCAGGTCCCCAGCCTGCGACTTCCTTTCAGTCGGGGTTCCCCAGCCTGTCCCAATGAGAAGAGCTGAGATGTACTGGGAGCAGGAAACTCAGAACTCGCTGAAAGCAGCTGGTAGAGCCCATCGCTCTCCAGGCTCACGGCTCACCCAAGCCCACCGGTCACTCTGTAGTTCCTGAGAATGGCTGAGCCAGGGGAAGAGCAGGCTGGGAAAGTGGCAGTGGCTGTTCACACAGCTGGGAAGCAGAGGGTCAGCTTTTGTGTACACAGCCTCCTCTTCCCAGCAGCTGCCTTCCTAATGGAAGGGCACGCTGAGCCTGGCCTGAAGGTCAACGAGAGCCACCTCAACATCCCAGAGTCCGGCACCGGGTCTATATGCCCCAGACCACTTCTTTTCCTTTTTCAACAGAGGTGAGGGCTTCCAGAGCAGTCTGAGGAAAAGGCTGGAGGCCAGTGAGTCCACCTCTTGGGCTGCCCCCCACTGCCTGTAGCTTTTGTCATTATTCTCGACCTGTATCCTCTACCAAGTGGACAGCAACCTGGGGTTGCCACCCTCCGGGCCGGCCCCGTGGCTGTCAAAGGCTACTGGGCTGCCAAGAGAATACCCGAGCCCTGGTTTCTCAGAAAAGTGGATTCAAATACTTTGATTAAGGGAATTCCTAAATTAGAAAACATTGGAACCAAGACTCGCTGAAGGTTCCCATTTCTGCGATCCCGGTCGCCGGGGGCCCTGCTTAACCACGGAGGAATCAGCTCAGATTTAGGAGGCTGGTCAATTTCATAATTCCGAGACCCGGTTCTAGAGAAGCGGCTGCGTGCTCGGGAACCCTGCGTCAACAACCAAACCCTGGAGAAGCTGCGGGAATATCTTTATTGGATTTTGCGAAAAGCACTTGGGGTTTCTCTTAGGGTAAGGAAAAACCTGACGGTGGCGGCTAGGGCAGGCCGCTTTGGGCTGGGGGCGCCTCCAAGCACTGCGGCGGGACTTCGGGGTGCGCCGCGAAGACAGCCGGGGCTCTGGCCGACGTCTGTTGCTTTTCTACATCATAGCTGCCCGAACAAACGAACGAGCAAACGAATGAAGCGGTTTCGTTTAGGAAAAATGCCCTCTTGACGCGAAGTAAGGCCAAAGTTCCCCGTGCGTGCAGAGGGGCCAGCGCTTCCGCTCATTCTGGGGCCCCCATTCCTGGGTGCAGTGGGGAGCGGCGGGCGGCCCTGTCACTTGCCGGTTCTCCCAGAGGTCCCCGGCGGTCCGCGCCACCACGAAGGGCTGCGAAGGGCGTCCAGGGTTGTGCCCTTGCAGGGCTGGGGCCCGCACCCCCGAAACTGTTGCTCTCTTAGGGTGCCCAGGGCTACAGCGTGGCGTGGGTCCGCCGGTTAGGTGAGGTAGTGCCTGACGATGGCAGCTGTGATTGTGCGCTGGGCGCAGGAACAAGCTCCTGGAGCTGCCTCGATGGCTCCTGGCCTTCGCGATGCGCTCAGTCCGGTGCCACCGGCTGGACCCCACCTACTCCCGGAGCCAACAGCGCGCAACTCGGCCACTACCTCCTTGCGCCCCAACACCGCGGGGACCCGCGCCCCTAGCTCAAAGACTCTTACCCGACCCGGGCTGCGCGGCGCGTGCGGATCCTCGGCTCCGGGCTCGCTCGCCACGGACTCTGGCTTAGATTTTCACTCCGACCGGGGCCCCGGATCCAGCTGTGTCTCCGGCTCTGCGCGCAGCTTCTGCCCCTTCTGGTTCGCTACATCCCAGCGCGCAAGGACCGGGCTGCCGCGGCTCGGCCCGCTCCTCCTGCTGCCGCCGCCGCCCGTCGCCCGCGGGGAAGGCGGGGACACTGACTGGGGAGGCGGGAAGGGGGGAGGGGAAGCGAGGCGCTCGTCGGGACCGGCGGGGAGGGGGCGGCGCGCAGTCCCGCGGGCTAGGGGTCCCGGCCTCCCTCCGGGGGCAGGCAGGGGTCGGAGCGGCTCGTGGCCGGGGCCCGAGGCCGTAGAGCGCGCCCCGCGACTGCGCGCGCGGAGGAGGGGCCTGGCCGCATGCGGACGAAGTCGCTGCGGGTCCCGGCCTGGCCCCGGCGCGCCTCTCTCCCCAGGCTCAGTTTCCCACCTGACAGTCGAAGGGCTGGGCCTGATCTCGGTTTAGTCGGGGTCTGGTCGGAGTTTCCCCGGGTCCCGCCAGGTGAAGGTTTGAGCCGGGGTTTTGAGAGTCGACTTTTCCCCCTTTCTGCTCAGCCTGCGGGAGGGAGCTGGTCTTGCATATTGGCCAGGGGAGGCTGCCGCGCAGAGCTTGGCAGCCAAGGGAAGTTTGAGGACAGACCCTAGACTCAGTCTCAGTGTATGGTTGGGGTGGGGGTTGCAAGGGAGGGACGACCTCCCGATCTGTTCTGCTTGGAGGATTCCCCACCCCACCCCCCATTCTCCTCAGGGGCTGGGCTGATGAGGAAAGGGGAGACCCATCCCACGAGGGCAGACTTCTGAGGCCCCTTGCCCAGCCCCTTGCCTGCACATCCTACAGCAGTCGTTCTGCTTGGCCCTTTCACAGGAGAGGACTCAACCTATGTGGCCGAGTTGGCCTGGCCCTGGCTGGTGGCTACTGGGAGATAAGCCAGACTAAGGGGAACTGAGTTCTGTTCGCAGAAGACTGGGTTCTTCTCCGTTGCCAGATATGCCAAGTGAAGCCTGTGCTGGGAAAGCAGTTGGGCAAACAGATTTCCTGCTTCCCCTAAGTGCCCAGTCTGAGCCTGCTGCTGCTGGGGCCCTAGGATGGGACGCAGAGTCGGGTGGGCAGTCTGGCTGGGACTACCCCCATGACCAGAGTGGCTGGGCCTGCCCCGACGGCTGAGGGACTCAGAGCTGCCGCTTTGGCTCTAGGTGCCGGGAGATGGCAGTGTGGCGGCCGGGCATCAAAGTTTCATGAGGTGCCATCACCCGCCGGCGCCTCCCTGCCTGGTTCACTCCAACAGCTGCTGCAGGAGAAGCCATGGCCGCTTGCCCGCCCTGGCACCTTCTGATCCCCACCTCCAAGGCTATCTTACTGGGAATGTGGAGACCCCAGATCCCCTCCTAACCCCTAAAACAAGAAGCCTGCCCAACCAAGCCTTGCAGACTCCGCGGCACTCGGGCCCTCAAGGCGGCCCCTGCACCATGTCCTGCTGTTGAGGGAATCCACAGCCTGCCCTCGACACTCAACAACAGGAACACCTCTTTGGTGGGCGTGTTGGACTCAGTGCGCACTGAATCTTAAGGGTTAAGAGCTGAGTCCCTGATGCCTGTGATTTCAGATTTGGAATGCAGTCTCTAGTCGGCTGGGACCCTGCCTTTCGGGAATTCTAGCCTCTGCTTATAGTTTGGCTGTTTTGTGTTTGAAACTGGTTTGCTGGCCAGTCTGGGCCCATGGGCTGCTAAGCTAAGATGCTACCGACCTTGTCTTAGGCAGTCTCCTCCCAAAGATGCCTCCTGGGCATCTTTGGGCATAAATGTGACTGTTGGTCCTTTACTATGTATGGAGGGCCAGACGTTTGTCTAGCTGCAGTGGCATTCAGTCTGGTGCTTGTGCTGGGAAATCAAACCTTTCTACCCCTGCACAACAGCAATTTTCTGAGTTTTGTTCTCAGTGGTGATGTGGTACACATGTATGTGATTCTCCATCTGCCCTTGTTCCCAGGCAGAGCCTGTGGTGTCAAAAAGCTGCCTCTGACACCCAATACTCAGAGTCGGAGTCTTGTCTGTGTCTTTTACTAGCTGTGTGACCTTGGATAAATCATAATGTCTCCCAGCTTCAGCCTCCCTACCTGTGAAATGGGAGAATAGAGTTTTCATCTCACTGAGAAGTCTAGGAGATGGTGGAGATGAGCGGTGTGGCTTGGTGTTGGGGTGGGCAGCAGGCTCAAAATGGTGATACCTGCCAGGCAGCTTTGCTCTTTAGAAGAGTTTGCTCTCATTTTTGTTTCCATCTTTCCCCACGATGGTCGTGTTGGTTGAGTCAGACAAGAGCAGGCTCATTCTCTGATTTAATAGACCTGCCCCTCATTCCCTGCTTAGCTGCTTGGAGGTTTTGGATCAGGGAGGCTGGCCAGACAGGTGAGGTGGGTTGGAGTGGGACCAGGGCCCGAAAACCTAGAAGTCCTTGGCGAATTGAGGTAGCTCAAAAATGCTTTTTATGATCTTATTTTCACTTCTTCCAAAAAGAATTTTTCACATTTTCCCTTTAGGTTTTGACATCTTGGGGCATACGCATTTCCACTTTGAAGGCAGAGGAATTAGGTATCAGAGAGGAAAAGCTTAGAGTGGGATCCACAAGGAACAGAAATGACACAGTCCTTGTACCTGAGTACCTGACATGCTTCTAGTCAAAAGTTTTTCTCTCTAGTACAAAACTCCGAGCTGAATTTGTCACATGAATTCACACTAAACGTAGTGGGCAAATGTCCTCCACCACAGTTATGCAAAAAGGCATAACAATTCTTCAAGCAGCATTTCTTATATCAATATCCAGTAAAAGCGGAGAACATGTCCTTTCCCTTCCTAGCTCTTGTTTCATTAGTATTGAAATTGGTATTTATGTAACGATTGATTAGAACCCAGTGCCCCTACCACGTGTAAGCTTTTTGAGAGCAAGGCTGAACTGCTCTTGCCAACCACAGGACCCTCCCGAGGGTCGGCAAAGAATTTGGCTATGTTGATTGGCTGAGTGTGGCTCATATGCCCACTGCTGAACCCATCACTTCATGGGGAAGAGTGGTTCAGGATTGTGGTTGACCAGGCTAGGGTCGCAGGCCCTACCCCGAAGGATGGGGCGAGGAGCATCACCACGTTAGGGAATACTCACCATAGTTCCCCCAAAGCACTGGCCGCCATCCTGCAACAGGTTCTCAAGCTACAAGAGGCAGGAAATGGGTTAGTTCTCAAAGAAGTCCCTGCCGTGTGAAGGTTCTCAGAGAGCTGTTGATGGTGTTGGTAAGAAGTTCATTCCGAAGTAGTGGGGAGGCACTGGCTCTGTTGAGAGAGTCTGAAGTCCATCAGGATTGTTCCTGAATTCGTTGTGGGAAGAGGTGAAAAGTCTGAGGTGAGGCTTAGCATCTACTGACTCACATACCGGGATGGATCTTTAGATCAAGGGAGGACATCTATTTGTACTCCTTTTTTCATCTGTGAAGAGGGAATTAGATGTTCTAATTCCTAAGCGAGGAATCCCTAGACTCAGATAAGATATTAATTTCTTTGAGCATTATTATATTGCAACTTTGAGGTTTCTGGAAGTCAAAGCAAAAATAGAAACCATTTGGGCATCTCAAGTATTTTTTTCATTGCACACCTATCAGCACATCCATGGGAAAATGGAAAGAACCCTGACCTGGAACCTTCCTGGACAGGCTTCTGTCATGTCAGTTTAGAAAGCATGTATTCTGTGCCTGTGATTGCAGAGATACAAAGACAGATGTCTCCTGCTCATTTGGGTTGAGCCAAGGAGGCTTCCCTGGTGGCTGAGACAGTAAAGAATCTGGTCACAATGCAGGAGACCTGGGTTCGATCCCTGGGTTGGGAAGATACCTGAAGAAGGGAATGGCAACCCACTCCAGTATTCTTGCCTGGAGAGTCCCATGGACAGAGGAGCCTGGCAGGCTACAGTCCGTGGGGTCACAAAGAGTCAGACACGACTGAGTGACTTTCACAGGGAGGCAGACACAGCCACCCATATTTGGAGCACGGGGCTGGAGAGGAAGTCTGCCTGGTGTTGAAGGGCCTTGAATGACATACAGGCATTGAGCTTGCCTAGAACAGCTCTCCCCCCACCCACCCCCGCCCCGGAATGGCACTGGAACAGGTGGTCAGACTTGGAAATGGGGGAAGAGGAAGTTGGAGAATTAAGTGGGAACCAGACACCACAGGACTTCATAGTCCTTGTTGGGAGGATAGGATGTTCCCCTGAAGGCAAAGAGGAGCATGAAACAATGAGAGGTCTGGTGGGATTTATACTAGAAAGCTCACTCTGTCTGGGTAGTGGAGGATGGAGCCGAGGAGGTGATACAGGAGCGGAATATTGTGACAGCATTCACTCAGCCCATTTCACCCATCTTTTCCTTGGCTCATCTGTCTCTCCATCCACCTGGAGCACAGGAGGCTACAGCTTGGCATAGGAAATAGGAAGGTGAGATGCTGAGGCCCCTCCTTTCTGGAGCTGCCCCTTCGAGGCCCTCTGCTTACCCTTCTGTGGGCCTGCTCTGTCTCACTCATCCTCACAGGCTTGTGCCTTGGGAGCCTTTCAGGTGTCTGCTGCTGTGTGGGGAGACAGGGCACTGAGGGTCCAAAAGGGCATGGCCACTATCACAGACAGACAACTCAGCGAACCTGTGTGGTGAGCAGCCCTGTCAGAAGCTTTTAAAATAATTACCCCAGCCTGCTCCGGCTGAGTGGCTGACGGCAGCCCATTAGCCCTGAGTTGGAAATTCTGAATTGTTTCGTGACAATTGAAAACACAGTTGGAGGCCAGGAGGGAGCAGCCCATGAAATATTGATGTTTCCTTGGTGTCGCCCCCTCAGACGGGAACCCTGGATGCGCAGGGCTGGTGGCTGCAAAGTGACTGCCATTTTCCCCGGGCTTCTCAGGCTGATTGCCCTGTGGGGACAAGGGCGTGTATTTCTTTGCAGAGTCGTGACAGCCGTTTCAGGACCTGCACCTCTAATGCCCTCCTCCTCCTCCACTCCCCTCTCCTGCCCCCAGCTCTACAATCCCACTATCAGGGCTGAGAGGGATAGAACTTGGGCACTTGACGTGTCCTGTGTATTCGCTTTTGGCCCAGATTCTCAGCACTTAAGGCTCATCTAGAGGCAGGTTGAGTGGGAATCCCAGTTCTGCTCCCTCATCATTGTGAGGCTTACTTTCTCTGTTTCCAGTGGGAGATGCCTCGAGTTCCTTCTAGCAGGGCTGTGATGTTTAGGGACAGTCACATGTGCGGGACCTGGCCTCCACCACCAGCTCAGGAGCTCATCAGGAGCTGGGTCGTCTTGGTGAGTCCTGGGGTCAGCTCAGGGCTGGCTACTGGAGCCCCTGCTGGATCCTCAGGGTTTTGTGGCCCCCTCTCCTCTGCGGTGGAGAAGGCAATGGCACCCCGCTCCAGTACTCTTGCCTGGGAAATCCCATGGACAGAGGAGCCTGGTAGGCTACAGTCCATGGGGTCGCAAAGAGTTGGACAAGGCTGAGCAACTTCACTTTCACTTTTCACTTTCATGCACTGGAGAAGGAAATGGCAACCCACTCCAGTATTCTTGCCTGGAGAATCCCAGGGATGGGAGCCTGGTGGGCTGCCATCTATGGGGTCACACAGAGTCGGACACGACTGATGTGACTTAGCAGCAGCTCCTCTGTGAAGTGCTTTGAGGCACTTGAATTTCCCCCTCTCTGTACATGCTATGTAAATGCTAGTGCTGAGAAGGTGCGTGCTGGCCTAGCAGGCAGCTCTGATGGGTGAGGTGCCCTAAGGTCTGGACCCCGCATGGCCAGCCCAGGCTCCCCCCTCAATGAGTGAGACTGTGCCACGGTAGAGGAACCTAGTGATAATGCCTGGCTGCCTGCCCTCAGATCTGCCCAGGGCCTCAGGATAAGGATTTCTGCTGTTTGAGCTCTTGACTTGCCTGTCATTATTCTCATTGTGGGAGGTGGTATTCACCCATTTTACAGATTAGGACAGTGGAGGCTGTATGTCATTCCTTTTGTCACTAGGCAATCCCACAGGCAATTTTAATAGCATCCACTCCATGTGCTGGCATTGGAGGGTGGTGCCAGGGACTCAGAGGTGATAATCTTGGTGAAATCCTTCTTGTGGAATTGGATCTAAGGATATTCATGTTTAGATTCATCTTTAGAAGCGGGGCAGGTTAGAAGCTGTGGGAGACAGAACAAAGGCAGCAAACCTAGGCAGGGCAGGCTTCCTGGAGGAAGTGACCTTCCCACTGAGGAGTGGGCATAGCATGAGTTTGCCCTAGAGCTGGGATGGGGGCAAGGCCATGACAAGGCTAGTGAAGGGCAGGCTCAGCCTGGAAGTTCGTATCCACCTGAGGAAGGGGGTGCAGCCCCCTGTATACCTCTTACCCCTGCTGCTATGAAGGGCAACTTAAAGAGCTACCAAGAAGGCTCTCCAAAGTCCTGGGTCCCTGGCCCCTGGGACTCTCTGGACTTTATTTTCTTCATGTGAAAAATAAGTTGGATTACTCCTAGCAGGAAGGCACATTTTTCAAATGAAACTTTACCAGGACTCCTACATAGATGAATGCAGTCTTGCTCCGAAAGAGGGTTGGTATAAATGTGGGCTCATCTGCCCTCCCCCCACATCCCTTTCTGGCCACAAGCACTCTGAGGAACCCTGGGCTCCATAGGCCACAGTTTTCAGGCTGGAGAGCAATGGCCCTTCCCACGAGGCTGTCCAGCTCCCAGCCTCCAAGGGTCCTGGGCCCTGGGGGTGCCAAATGTCCCCTTCCATCTGTATGGAAGAGCCCCCATGGGCCCTCTGTTCCCCGCTCCTTTAAAATTTCCTGTTAGCTGTTGGTGATTCAAGTCAGCAAGCACTGATTAAATGCCTACTGGATGCGTGGGGAGGACCTAGTGCTTTTTTGGACACCAGCTGGATACTACGTCTCTGTGGGGCTCTTTGTGTCAAGGCGTTGCCTCATCACAACCAGCTGCCAGCCCGCTTTATACATGAGGGAGAGGAGAACTTGGAAGAGGCTGAGTGACTTGCCCAGGATGACAAGTGATAGTAACAATAACTTCCACTCCTGTGCGTGAAGGCCCAGGCATGCCAGCATCTTTCCGTGCATGAGTTCCTTTTGTTCTCAGAGCAAAGCTGTGAAGCAGGCACTGTTTACATCCTCAGGAGTCAAATAAGCACCCTAGAGAGGTGAAGGAGATGGGTCTGGGCCCCAGACTCTTGGCCCCCAGCCTTCCCCTCTGTCCGTCCCTGTGTTGTGGAGTCTGGGGCAGCTTCCTATGTGGTTCCAGGCCAATGAGCTCTTTCCTCTCTAGGTTTCCACTGTGCATATAGGGAAACTGAGGCCCAGAGACCCAGAACATCTTCTCAGAACATCTCTACCCTCTGGGGTGTCCATCTGTCTGCTCCGTGGCATTGACTATGAAATCTCAGGCTGGCATCTCTGCAGAGTACCTGCCTTTTGGGGGGTGGCCTGCCCACCTGGCGGTTTTGATCAGGGCTCACTGACCTCGCGGGCAGGGTGGCCCCACCCTGAGTTCAGGAGGCGGTAAGCCAGTGGCAGCTGCACCTTCTGTCTTCACATGTTGGGTTCTGGCTCACTCTTAGCCCCCTCAACACAAATCTTGAGTCAGCACAAACTCCCCCTCCTCCCTTCTCCCAAACACCTCAAAGTCACTGCTGCTAGATGTGAGCATCTCACGGACAGGGCCAGCATGGGGTTCTTGCCCTGGGGGGCATGTTTGATACTGAAGATGGGGTGGCATTTTACGCAGGATGGCCTGAAGTTGGACTTTTGGTGGATGGAGAGACTCCGGCCTGGTGTGCCTGCAGCTGCGGCCCCCGGGGCGGCAGAATGTGGGGGCTCCCCCTAAGCCCCAAGGGCAATGCTTGCCTGTGCACAGGGCCCAGATCCACGCCGAGGAGACAAACACGAAGTGAGGGAAACACAAAGTGAGGGACGAGTCTTGACAAATGTTTGCCAAGTCCCTGGCTGACTTGGAAGTCAGGAGTGAGCTTGTTTGGAAGAACAAAGGGGAAAGCAGCCTCCAGAGGGCCATAAATAGCGAGGAAGGAGGAGCAGTCCAGCCTGAAGGCTCCCTGGGACCTTGTCCCAGGCTGTGCTCTCTGCTGGAGGAGACCTCCATCCCCTCACGCTAGGGCCTAGAGGTGG